TTGTTTTCTTTTTATTTAACACCCTGGTAATTAAGTTTACCCCCTCAAAATAATATCGAGTGTGACAATTGTCTTAACCGAAAAATTTCTTAATTTCAAATTCATGTAGAAAGAAAGCACACACATACAGTAGATGTCTCCTTATAATTATATATCGGCATTATATTACTGCCACCAGGATTGTAAAACGAACGCTACAGGTTGCTTGGTTAATTGCAATCGTAGTGAATTGCCTCCTGCCACCATGTCTTCGTCTTGACTTTATTGTTATTTCGTTCCAAAATGCCTTTCTTGGCTGAGTCACGAAAAACATCCCTCCCCGATTTTACGGTTTCGTGTATGTTTGACACCCTCCTTTCCTTTCCTTTCCGACAGAAATTGAAACACTATAATGAGTCACACTCCGAGGATTTTTATTACCTGTATAAAAAAAATGTGGTTCGTTTGGTATTGATGCCTCCTTTGTTCTTTGAATACTTGAAGGGACCCCTAACGTCTTATTAGAGTTTTATTAGACTAGATATTAGTGTGGAATGTTTATTTATTTATTGTATTTAATGTCGATAATATGAGATGCTTCCACAGACTATACATTCTACAGACCAATCATACATAATATATATTAGGGCGGACCAAATTTTTTGTCGATTAAATCCAGCCTCTAGGATGATTCTTTGGACAATTCTAAGCAACTATGGTGACTTTGGTCTTTCGCATAGCCCCATAAAAATCTAATATATAATCTCATAAATCTAAATATTGACCGATCTTCACCGAAACAGTCATTCTTTCATCAGACCCCTTCATTACTAGGGTCATAGAATTGTCTGGACTGTCGGCCAGATCATCGCCCAGACGAAACGACTAAAGCTAGAAGCTTAAAATTTTGAGTGTGGGTTATTGTTGGTGTGTAGGAGATACTGCTGGGTTTTTTGGAAATTCGAACTAGAAGGATACGAATAGTACTAATATGTACCAAATATAGTACTCTTTGTATTAGGCGAACGGGAAGAGCTAGAATTCTGAAGTTTGGAATGTGAGTCACTGATGGAAATTTAGAAAGATGTACAAAAGGGTTTTTGAAAATTCGATCCAAAAATGTACGAAAAGTACTACATTTTACTAAATTTAGTTCTAATTGTATATGTATTGTACATATATAGCTAGAAACTTGAAATTTTATATGGAATAAAGGTTGGGAAGTGGTATTGATTTATGGAAATGGTTTATGAAATTAGTACATATTTATATAAAATGTACAAAATGGTACTAAATTTAGTACTATTTGCGTTTAAATGAGTGTATAGAGATGAAAGGCTGAAAATCGGAATTAGGAATACTATTGTAGTACAGGATTGAGGTTGCTTAAAAAAATCGTACTTATGTGTACGAAAAGTATTAAATGGTACTAAATTTGGTGCAAGTTGGATTTAGGTGAACGGATAGAGCTGGAGTCTTCAAATTGAGAACTAAAATGACTGTTGGAGTGTAGGATTGAGGTAGTTGAAAGAAATTCGTACTTACGGATACGAAAAGTTCTATATGGTACTAAATCTAGTACAATTTGGATTTTGCTTGAAAGGATAGAGCTGAAAACCTGAAATTTGGAAGTAAGATTACTGTTGAAGATTGAGCTGTAGACACATCTTTGGAAATTAGTATTTATGTGTACGAAAAGTACTAAACGGAACTAAATTTGGTACAATTTGAATTTGGGTGAACGAAGAGATCTGGAAACCGAAAATTTGGAATAATAGTTGCTGTTGGAATATAGAATTGAGAAGCATAGTACTTATGTGTACTAAATGGTACTATATTTGGTATAACTTAATTATGTGTGAACGGATAGAGCTGGACTCCAGAATTTTCAAATTAAAATTACTGTTGGAGTGTAGGAAAAAGGTACTAACTGGTAACAAATGGTTTACAAATTGTTTTTGTGTGAATGGATAGGGCTGAGATCCTGAAATTTTGAATAAATATAACAGTTTGAGTGCAGGATTGAGATATGTCGGTAGTTTTGAAAATTCGTAATACGTGTACTAAATGGTATTAAATTTGGTAAAATAGGAAAACTTAAATTTGGAATGAAATATTACAGAATTACGGTAGTATTGGAATTACGTACTTATGGATACGAGAAGCACTAAATTGTACTAAATATGGTACAATTCGTTTTTTGTGAGCAGGAATCATAAAATTTTGAATTAAAATTAAGGATTGGATTGTAGGACGAGACATGGAGTTAGTTTTAAAAATGTGTAATTATGTGTGCTAAATGGTACTAAGTTTAGTACAATTTAGATTTGAGTAAAAGGATAGAGATGGAAAACGTATATTTAAAAATAAAATTACTGTTAGAGTACAGGATTGAGACAGTGTTGGAAATTCGAACTCGTAAGTACGAAAAGTACTAAATATGGTACAATTTGGATCTATGTGAACAGATAGGGCTGGTATCCTGAAATAGTTTTGAAGTGTGAAATTGAGAAGTTTTAGAAACTCGTACTAACCTCTACGAAAAGTAATAAATGATACTAAGTTCGATACAATTTGGATGTTGGTGAACGGATAGAGCTGGAATCCTTAAATGTGCACTTAAGGTTATTATTGGAGTGCATGACTGAGGTAGTTTTGGAAATTCGTACTTATGGGTACAAAAAGCACAAAATTTGGTGCAATGTGGACTTGAGTTAGAACTCGAATTCTGAAAGTTGCCATTTAGGTTACTGTGGGAGTGTAGGAAAAGTACAGAATGGTACCAAATATGGTGCAATTTGGAGAACAGACAGAAATTCTTAAATTTGAACTTACGATTGCTATTTGAAAGCAGGTTTGGAATATTGGGATAAGTTTGTAATATGGGTACGAAATGTACAGAATTGTTCCAAATCTGGTATAATTACTTTTTAATGAACAGACAGAGCTGGAATGATAAAATTACGATTACTATTTGAAAGCAGGATTGAGGTACATTTGGAAACTTGTACTTATTAGTACGAAAAGTACTAAATTTGGTACGGTTTGGACTTTGGTCGAATTAAGATTACTGTTTGAGTGTAGGATTGATGTAGTTTTTGAAATTCTTACATAGGAGTATGAAAAGTACTAAATGATACTAAATTTGGATTTGGTTGAACCCAGAGATTTGGAATTTAGATTATTTTTAAAGTGTAGTATTGAGTTATGGCGACAACTTTGGAAAATCTAATTTATGTGTACGAATTGTAAATAGAATAGAAAATTCACTAAAATTGGATTTGGGTAACTGAAAGAGCTGGAACCTAAAATTTGGAATGTCGGTCACTGACGAAGAGTTAGAGAGAAGTACCAAGTGGGTTTTGGAAGTAAAATGAAACTAAATTTGGAACCTACGTATTAGCTGAAATCTAAAAAAATGGATTTCGGAAAATAGTGCTTATGTGTGTGAAGAGTACTAAATGGTAATAAACTTGATATTAGATGTAGAAATACAGTATTCACGATGAAATATTTTGTTATTCCCTTTCCGAATGGAAGGATGGTATATTATATTTGCCACTCCATTTGTAACCCATTGAAATGTCCTTTTTTTGCCCTACCGAATATAACCCCTTTTTTCACTTGTTATACTATCCGATTTATGACTAATGAGGACCTTTGATATATCGAAATTAATATTAATCGAAATACCTTCGAACTAAATCCACATTTAATTCAAGTTTTTAACATGTTCTATATTAATGGAAATTGAATAAATCTGAACCGTTTTGTTGTTTGCTTTATTTAAGGAAACCTACAAAATTTCAACTAAAAATCTCAAGAACTCTTGAAGGTATAGCCGCTTTATTGTGTCAGCATCAAGTTCCTTTAAGGATTAATTTCAACAAATTTAATTTTGGGTCTTGATTTAATTCGAACCTACACTAATTCTACATAATGTCCCTAACAAATTTGAAGTGAAATTTCAAAAACTCTTGAAGATATAGACAATTTATTGTGTTAGTATCAAGTGACGGCTGAAGGGCTTCTCAAACTTTAAACGCGTTTTTCTCCAAACCGTATTTTTGCGAATGGCGGACACGATAACTCAAAAAATAACCCAATCGATTCCAAATTTTGGGACGTTTCTCTGTGAGTGTATAGCTATCGTATGAACTAGGATAAGACCAATCGGTGAAGATCTTCCTTATTTTTTAACTAGGTTTGTGGTCAAAAATAGGCGATTTTCCAAAAATATTTTTTCAAAAGTCCGCCATTTTGTTAATTTAAATACTAATATTTAAGCGAGGTCAATATTCCTAGTTCATACGAGAGCCGATGTTCCAGTGAGGAGTTATCATGCCCAAATAAGGACTTTTCTTTAATCACAAAAAACAACAACAACAAAACAATAACAAACAAATTTTGTAAATTATTTTTCTTCTTTTTTTAATCTTCAAATATATATGAGTACGTTAGTTGAATTATATATTGCGGTATTTCATATTTATAATGAAGAGTATAAACAATTCGACTCTACTGAACTATGTATGCATGGTACTACTCGTTTCCTCTCCAATGAATGATAAAAATCGAAACCTGCAAAAGATGCGATGACGCTGTTAAGCCATCACTGTATATTTTGGATTCAACGGCTTAGTTTGTGTTTATGAAGCAATAATAACAGAAGTACCCACAGAAGAATTACTGCGAAAAGGCGTATTCAAACCAAACCTAAAAAGAAAATGATAAAAGCCAATTCCACAAGAGCTTCCTTATCATCATTACGTGCCGTTTTCAAAAGTGCATTATATTTGATAGTTGGTCTATTTATTGGCATATCATTTACACTAATTTTCTTTAATGAAGTAAATGAATGTCCCAGAATAAGAAAAGAATTTAATTCAACAAAATATCTTCATTTTGCTAACCAAAGTAATGAGTCCAATAAAAAAGATATATATTCTAAGAGTAATGGACTATCCAATGACAACATTCATAAACAATTATTTAATAGTACCCGAGTCCTTTGTTGGATAATGACACATCCCGACAATCATTATAGCAGAGCCATACACATAAAGAATACGTGGGGACGCCGATGCAATTCTCTAATTTTTATGAGCACGCAAACGGATGCGACATTGCCAAGCATTGCATTACCTGTTGACGACGGTCCGAATAGCTTGTGGAATAAAACAAGACTTGCTCTGAAGCACATACACGATAATCATTTAAACAATGCCGACTGGTTTTTAAGAGCTGACGATGATACGTAAGTAAAAAAAATATTTTAGTATAAAAACACTGTGCTACACTAAATACACAAAAAATATTCAAATAAAAAGGAAGGGAATACAAGAAATCGAACGTTATATGAGAATACAAGCTTAAAAACTGTTATGTTCCGCAGTTCCAAATTTATATACCCCCAACGAAAATACCTAAAATCTTTTGGATCATTATACCAAAACGTAGACCTATACTTTTCATAGCTGTATCTTAAAAATAAAAACAACAAATGGTGGATCTATACTTAAAAAAGTTTTGAAAATGTTCTAAGAATAACAAGTGTCTAACCTCAGGTAATTCCAACTGACGGACGATTGTAGACGATTTCATAGAATAACAAAATCGTTACTGCAAAATAATTTAAGTCCAAACTAAATCGTCGAATCGTAATATGATACTTTATCGAATTATTGAATACAACTATTTTGTCTAAGTTCTCTATAAACCTTTTTTATTTCAGATATGTGATAATGGAAAATCTTCGCATGTTTCTTTATGACTATTCCGCTGACGACCCTCTGTATTTTGGATGCAAATTGAAGAGAAGTGGACAACCTGTAAGTAAAAGTCAAACATTGAAATATGTTAAAAGAAATATAAAAAAATCACACTGCAATGAAAAAATCCACTTCTTCAAAGATTGGAAAAACATTGGATTCGTGTAAAATTTTGACCATTTTGAAAGTGATGTACCAAAGCAGTGGACCGGCATTTCCCATCTTCGAAAATATACTGAATTTGGAGGTCATATTATGGGGTGCAAAGTTTGGATAAAATCGGTAACAGGGGGGCGTACTACGGACATTTATAAATCGACTTCAATTGTTTGAAAAATTTAGATGATAGCATAATGCTGAGGGTATAAAAATATACCCCAAATCCCTAAAATGCCGAATTATTGGAAGTATTGTTATATGGGATCTACCCCGAAACATAAGTTAATATTGATTGTTTTTGATAGGGACATTTTTCAACCTTATGAGAATCCTAAATACTAAATGACAGCAAATCTGTTTGAACTACCTAAATACCGAAATTTGGAAGGCATTGTGATATATCAGGCTACCTTAAAAATAATATAGATACTTTTGGTAGGAAGATTTGCATTAAAACCCAAAATTTCAAATTAAAGCAAATTCGGTAGGAAGACATGCCCTGCATCCCCAAATACCGAATATTTTAGGGTACAATTATATATGTGTGCTATATCAAAACGTGGAACGATTTATCCCACTTTTACTACTAACAATTCCGAGGAGTAGTATCAATGTTGCGAGTTACATCGGAATTTCACGGACGGAAAGTACTAAATGTGGTACAATTTGTATTTGGCGAACCGGCAGAACTCTTATATTTGAAATGAGGGTCACTAATGGAGTGTAGAATAGATGTAGATTAGGTTAGGGATGTACGGTTGTTGTAACAACTGTCCACTCGGAAACTATGTCCATTGTGATAATCCTTTATGTTTAAGTGTACCTATAAAGAAAAGAAAAAAGATAGTGGAAGAATAGAGAGAAAAATAGTGAGAAGAAGGGGGCGGAAGAGAGATTATTTTAGTCAAGTCAATTTTTTGACAAACACTAGAATTTGGTTAGGGTCTATTTTGGAGAAGAAGACTAGATTATCAATTTCATAACATCCAAACTGTTTATGTCTTCTGCTGATCAGCGATGGACATTTGCAGAGGATGTGCTCAATTGTTTCCAGTTCTTCTTCGTCCTCACATAGACGACAGTAATCCTCTCCACTGGAGTCCCACTTAAAGTGAGAGATCTAACTATGCAGTGGCCAGTAATAATCCCCACAACGATTTTGATCTCCCTCTTGCTGTGTTCCAGCAGCGAAGACGTTCTTTTACGAGAGAATTCTGGCCAGATAGATTTAGAGATTCTGCAAGCAGGTTCCCTTAGCCATCTGTTACCGACTACCTCGCAATGGAACGCACGGATTCTGCTTTTACTATCTCGGCCGCTTTCGTGATTGCGAGAATCTCTGCTTGAAAAACGCTACAGTCATTGTTGAGTTTATATGAGTTCTGTATACCTAATTCCCTACAGTAGACGCCTGCGCCAGTGCCTTCTTCCATCCATTCTTCCATTCCATGGCAGAGGTAGGGAGGCACTAGTCCAGGATTCCCTACTAGGAAATTCAACTTTGATGTCATTAAAGTCCCTTTGGGGGGGAATATAATAACTGATATGACTATCCCCCCTAAAGAGGTCATAACCTGGCGTTATGTTTAGGATGCTGGCATGACCATAGTTCAGCGATTTCAAGGCATCTGTTTCCCGTCTCAGAGTCTCAGGGCACACCTGGCCGCCTGGAATTTGATCAGAATATCAAATGGTTGGAGATTCAAGATTGCATTCAAGGCTGCCTGTGGTGCACTTCTTAATGCTCCGGTGATCAGAATTGAAGCCGATCGCTGTACTAAGCTCAGTTTTGTCAGCAGTTTATTTTTAATCACCCCCTGCCACCAGACAAGACAACCATAAGTAAGTATGGGTAAGACGATCGTAGTATACAGCCAGTGTATAATTCCGGGTCTCAATCCCCAACTCTTGCCTATGGAATTATTGCATGAATAGAGTGCCAGCAATCCCTTCTTGGAGCGTTCCTCAACATTCCTATTCCACAGTAACTTGCGGTCTAGGATAGTGCCAAGATATTTAGCTTCATCAGAAAGGGTTAAAGTCACTCCATCTAGCTTCACATTATTGAAAGCTCCTTCGATATCGAGGAATGCTGCCATCGTGTAGCCAGAGGACTCCATATTCTTCTCGATGTATCCAACCACCTCATGCAGAGCTGTATCCACTGATCTGCCTTTGATGTAGGCATGCTGGGATTTACTAAGGTTACTACGGTCAATGGTATTTCTAATTTATGAGTCTAGTAACCTTTCTAAAGTTTTTAGTAGAAAGGAAAAAAGGCTAATCTTTAGGTAGCGTATGACTCGGCTTTCGGGATGAAGGTCACGGTAACCTCTTTCCATAGACTTGGTATGTACGACAGAAGTAAACAAGCTCTAAAAATGTCCTGCAGAAATGATATTATACGTTCATCTGCGTGTTGCAGCATGGCCGGTAGAATAGATGCAACAAAGGGGTTTTTGAACATTCGAACTATAAGTATACGAAAAGTACTAAAATGTACTAAATTTGGTACAATTTCGTGAATGGATAGAACTAAATACTCGAAATTTGGAATGCGAGCTAAGGTTGAGAAGTGGGGTCAATATGAGAAGATGATTTTGAAAGCGTGTTCTCATGTATACGAAATTTGGTACAATTTGAATTTTTGGATGAACCAATAGAGATGGAATCCTGATATTTGGCGTTACGATCACTGTTTGGGGAGTAGGATTGGGTACTAAATTTGATACAATTTGGATTTAGGTGAACCGATAGAGCTGGAACACAGAAATTTGGATTAAGATTATTGTTGGAGTGTAGGATTGGGGATATGGACGTAGTTTTGGAAATTTTTACACGTGGGTACTAAATTTGATAAAATTTGGATCTAGTTGAACCAACAGACCTTGGAGCGTATAATTGTGGTGTTGTGTGTCGTACTTATGTGTACTAAATTTGGTACTATTTGAATTTTGGGTGAACCGATAGAGCTAGAATCCTAAAATTTGGAGTTAGTTGCACTGTTGAGGTCTTGAATTGGGATTTTTAAGAAGTTTTGGAGAAATATACTAAATGACAATAAATGTGGTACAATTTGTATTTAGAGTGAACCAATAGAGTTGGAATCGGGAATTTGGGTAATAAGTTTTCCATTCCATTGATGATGTTGATGAATGGGGTATGTGAGAAGTTTTGAAAATTCGTACTTATGATTGTTCAGGTAGGTAGTTGCGGATATTTATATTAATGTGTACTAACTGGTACTAAATTTGGATTTGGGTGAACATATATTTGAAATTTGTATCGCTTTAAAAATCAAAATCAATCAAATCTCCATACATTTTTTAGGAATTCATGGCCTCCGGTGCTGGTTATGTACTCAGCAAAAATGCTCTAATGAAATTCATCAACGAAGCTTATGATAACAGTGAAATTTGCAATGAATTGGAGGCGGATGAAAACATGGCCCTAAGTAATTGTCTAAGAAATATCAACGTTACATTTGGGGATACCAGAGATGAAAAACATCTGGAACGTTTTATAGCTGTATCGCCCTCACATGTTATTCCCGATTTCAAAATGGATTGGTATGGTACTGAAATTTACCATTCTGTCAATGAGGTGAGTTCCACACATTTATGTTTTTATATCATGTTTAATTAGTTTTGTTTGAATTTCAGAACGTAAGTTGTTGTTCTCCCCATGCAATCTCGTTTCATTATATAAATTGGCGGGAATTGTATACATTGGATTATTTATTATATACATTAAGACCTTTTGGTTTGTTTTCTAATATAACTTGGACATTGCCAAAGAGGTATACAAGTGAAGATCACAAAGCTCATGCGGAAATGAATGAAGTACTTACTACATAAGCCATAGATAACAATTAATACTTATAATATATATGTAGTTATATATTATTGTAATAAAGTGGAAAAACAAAATAAAAGCAACAAAATCAAATTTTTGTTTTTTCTCTTTGGGTTGAGCTAAATGATCCAAATGTTGCTATGAAATGAAAGACAGGGGATGAACCTACGTACTCACCATTATGTGATGCGTTTCGCTGTTGGTTAAGCGGCTCATTAAGCATATTGGGCTTTGTGACTTTACAAAGGTCCTTCGTTGATAAGTTGTATTTATATCAGATGTAATTAAAAATTACGTCTTCGAATTAAATTCAAATTCATCAAGGATCGACAATTTTTCTCAACTCCGGAAGCAGTCCTTTTCAAAGTAAATACACCTAAGTCTGTTTTTACACGGTCTTTTTGTACACGGTTTTGATATAACACGGTTTGAAAATTGAATATTTTAAATTTTTTTACACAATTTTATTCCATTTAGCACGATTTGAAATTTTATGTACTCAAATTTTTTTGTCAAATTTAATTTTTGCGAAGTACGTTCATATCACAAAAAAGTATTTATGAAAGAAAAAAGTCTGAAACCATCGATAGTTTGCGAACACTAGCTTAAAGATTTAAGTGAATTCCCCTTTAGCTCGTACAAACAATTTTACTGGTCAAAGCAAATGTGAATAGCACTAATTTAGGGGAATTCCCTTTTTTACACGGTTTTTTTATACGGCTTCTTCTGGAACCAATCTACCGTGTAAAAACAGACTTAGGTGTATTTCGAACATTTCCTAAAAAAGAATAGATTTTAAATCAAGGTTTTACTAAAGGAATTTCCCACAAAAAATCTTGACTACATCAGATATAAATTGACGAGAGTTTTTCTCTTAAATATTTTGGACAGTTTTTTTCTATATTCTTGTTTTAAAAACATAAATAAATTTAATATAATCCTAAATTATATAAATCCTAATTTTTATAAAAAATACTAAACAATTCGAATATATTCTCCGTTTATAGATTTGATTTGTACATAGCATTTCTGCACAAAATTCCCCAACGATGTTCATTCATTGTGTTTGTGTGTCACCCAGTGTTCTTTACATTGCGCCTGAATGTATGCAACAATAATATGAGTTCGATTTAACATCTACCAACTACATGATCGTTTTAGAGTTGCCAAGTTATATTGATATGTCTTGTTGGCAACGCAATAAAATATGGGTTCATTTGGAACCTTTTCAATAATAAATTCAGAGGTAAGTAAATCACATTAATATCCTCTACCATAAATTGCAGTGTATATTAAACCTCGAAATGTTCACCTGAGACCCCATAGAGTATTCCTCATAAAAATAAAATTCTATGTCGATATATATACCATAACGATATCCCCAAATATTCGGTATTTTGAAGTTTTTGGGAAGTTTGGGAGTTTGATAAATATTATAAATATGATAAATATTTAGGTTTCTTATTTGGTGGCCAATCTTGATACCAAAAATTATTAATATTGGCCCAAGATTCCGGGTAGCCCCTTTATAATGGTACCACCCGTTATTCGGTATTTTTGAAGGTTTCGTTTTTTTAACCGAATTGGCTGTAATTTGATTTTTCAGGTTATCGTGGGGTGTCAAATTCCTATAAAAAATTATCGGTTTACATTTCGGCTTAGCTCCCATTTCCGGTATTTTTCAATGTTTAAAAGTGGCCCGTTTAATTTACGTTATGTTGAAATTTCCCATCCCGAGTGTATGTAATATGTAAATTGGAGCATGAGCAATTGTTACCACATATACTGCAATAACGTAGTCCTTATATTAATTTCCCGATCGATTCAAGTAATCTTAAATGCACGTCACGTGGCTGAGTGTATAACATTTTCGTTACGGTTTTACTTAACAATGTTTTTACATGTAATATTCTACGTGTGTATATGTAATTTACCATGCCGTTTAAAACTTCTCGAAATAACCACCGCACACCCCATATCATCTTGTATATAATTTAATGTCGATTTTACAATGTCAATGTCTCAATCACAATAGAGTTTGCAATGTTTAAGATACTGTTTTTTCACATATATTTCTATTTTTTCCTAGTATGTATGTTATTGTAAGTATAACAAATATTTCTTTTAAAAAATATTTTTTTTCAGTCTTGGCGTGTCCTTAACTTTATAATTCATGTTCTTTGTTTATATCTTATGACAATTGTCTGTCTTTAGATTTTAAATTCTATGAAAAGGTTCCAAGTTTTACCTTGACTTAAATATTATCCCCTATCAATCAAAGGTTTCATTTTATAGAGAAAATATTCCATAACATAAAATTCTTCGGGAATAAGATAGTGAAACGATATTGCCGTCGCTGAACAACAGGTGACATTCTGAAATAAATATATAACGGAAAATAAAATAATTAAATAATTAATTAAATTATTTGCACTCTCACCTCATTTGAATCATGATATACTAATTTCGTATACCAATCCGATCTTATATTTGACATTACATCACGTGGTGCTAGCGGTATAAAACGCTCTTTACCCTCGACATCTCTTGAATCGCCTGCGATGACACCAATATTTTCCAAACACATACCCAATTGAAGATCTTCGGCTTGAAATTCACGATTACAAACGACATCGTTATCATAGGCTTCCTTGGCAAATTTCTCCAAAGATTTTTTGCTTAGGACATAGCCAGCACCGCCAGACATATAACCCTAGATTTTGGGAATATTATTATATAAAGAAAATTGAAGGTTTTACAAACTCTGTATACCTGCTGAATATGCTGCTGCAGCTTGCATCCGAAATATAAAGGGTCATCTGACGAATATGGACGGAGAAATGTGCGAAGATTTTCCATTATTATGTAACTGAAAATAATATGTAAATACTCATAAGTGATAAATGTATTCGCAAAAAGATTTACATGGAATGGAAACCCCATGGCGTCCAATTTAAATAATAAAAGTTTATGTAACACCGTATCAAACGCTTTACTAAAATCAGTGTAAACTACATCTGTTTGTTGCTTTGTAGCAAATCCATGGTGTGCATGGCAAGTTAATTCCATTAGATTTGTTAAAGTCGATCTCCCTTTTATGAAACCATGTTGACAAGGTGAAATTATTGGCGAAACGAAATGAATTATTCTACGTGATACTAGAAGTTCGAAAAGTTTTGGAATGGCGCTTAATTTTGCAATACCCCTATAATTCTCAATAACATTTCCGCTACCAGACTTATGTAAGGGGATAATGAAGCTAGATCTCCAGAACAGAGGAAAATATCATGTAGATAGCGAAAGATTAAAAATAGATGTGAGGGCTTATATAGTTCATAAGCACAAGTTTTCAATATATTCGCAGGTACTCCATCAGGACCTGGGGAGCAACAATACTTTATTGACACTAAACGATTCAACACTTCATCTTCTGTTAGAAGAAAAGTAGGAAAATTGTTTATCTTATCGATATTAAAAGCATAATTAGAGTTTAATGTGAATGTAGAGTATGTACTTTGAAAGAAATCTGCAAACATGTCTGCTATTTCAGCGGTATCACCAGAATCTTTGCTACCATACTTCATACTACTGGGAAATTCTCTAACTTTTCTTTTAGAATTAACAAATGTATATGAACTATAAAACTTTATTTAACATGCTTCGGAATGTCCGATTTGGGTAAAATATGCAACGTTTTGTTGTGTGATTTGTTGTCATTTTAAAGGTAAGTTCATGATGACTCTCTCATAGAAGTCCTGCTCTCTATTTGCAAAAAACTCTAGTAGCCGATGTTTACAATCCTCCCTAGATACCAATTTTTAATCATTAAAGACATTTTGGATTGCAAGAAAAATATGATAATCGCTTGATGCCAAGTCCGGACTTTATGTCGGATGCAATAAAACTTCCCAACCAAGCTCCCGAAGTTTCTGGCGAATCACTGTAGATGTGTGTGGCCTAGCGTCGTCCTGGTGGAACACGACACCTCTCCAGTTGGCCAATTCAGGTTGTTTCTGGTCAGTTGCTATCTTCAAACGGTCCAGTGATTAAAAGTAAAGCTTAGAATTTTGCGTTTGGTCATATAGAATAGCAGAACTTTCCTGGCCGTTTGTTCTAGTTTGACCACCGTTTAAGGTGCTTCACCGCTCTTTAACCAAGATCGCTTTGGCAAAGGTTTATCGTTTGTGATCCATTTCTCATCTCCAGTCACCATTCGTTTAAGAAATGAGTCTATCTCATTCCGTTTGGCCAAGGTTTCGCAGATTCGCGAAATTCGATTCATTCTATTTTTTTTTTTTTTTTTTTGTTAATTGGTATGGAACCCAAACATCGAGCTTCTTTTTGAATCCAGCTTTGTTTAAAAGGTTTAAAACAGTTTTATGGTCGGTTTTTAGCTCATGGGCGATGTTACGATTGCTAACATGCTGCTCAACTTCGACCATTTCTCCGATTTTATCGACATTTTCGATTTCTGGATTTCTTTTTTCCCAACCTAATATATGTAGTTAATCAACCTACATACCAATATCGACCATTTTAATACCATTCAGTACCTTTGTTCTCCTATATAAGTAACTACCTCCATATCTCAAAACTACACACCAATTCTCTATCAAGCTCTATACTATTACTATTATTATTAATACTATTATATTAGTATTACTTTTTTCCAAAACGAATTAAAACTTTCATGGTTCGAGCTCTATAGGTTCAACCAAATCCAAACTTTACCAAAATTTAGTATCATTCAGTACATATAAGTACGAATTTCTAGAACTACCTACATAACTCTATTCTACACTCCAACAGTAATCTTTATTACAAATTTAAGGATTCCAGATCTATCGGTTTACCAAATTTTTATTAAATTTAGTACCATTTAGTGCACACAAGTACGAATTTGCAAAACTTTATTCATACACCCTAACAGTGATCCTAACTCTAAATTTCGGCATTTCAGTTCTGTTCCAAAATTCAAATTTTACCATTTACTTATGTGTACGTACGAATTTCCAAAACGTCATTCAAAATTCATACAATCAATAGAAATCTTATTTCCCGTTTCGGAATTTCACGCACTTTCAAAGCTTCCCTTATACCCAATCCTTCACTCCAATAGTGATTCTAACAAAAATTTCAGTGTTCCAGCTCTATCTGTTCACCCAAATTGTACCAAATATAGTGCAATTTAGTACTTTTCGTACAACTACGTACATATCCCAATACTACACTCCGACGTTTCTCAAAATTAACCAATAAGGAAAGTAGTAAAGTCGGACGGGGCCGACTATATGATACCCTTCACCACATTCGGTATATTCAACAGATGAATCCTAACAGACGTCGCATTTTAAAAGGACCATCAAAATAAAATTGGATCCATAAACATGTCATTCTGCAACCTATACTAATTTTTTCATTTGGTCAGATATAGAAGGTATATCTAAATCTGAACCGATTTCAACGATTTCAGGAAATTTAACACATATCATTCTAGACCTAATTCATTACGCTGTGCCAAATTTCGTGCAAACCGAAAGATATTAAGGGACTTTGGTACACCATTTACCTTAAATTGGACAAAAATATATATGGGAGCTATATTTAAATCTGAACCGATTTTCACGAAACTTAGCACACATCATTCTAGGCCTAATTCATTACGCTGTGCCAAATTTCGTGCAAATCGAAAGATATAAAGGGACTTTGGTGCACCATTTACATTAAATCGGACAAAAACATATATGGGAGCTATATCTAAATCTGAACCGATTTTTCCCAATTTCAATAGGGTTCGTCTTTGGACCAAATAAGTGACCTATGCCAAATTTCATCCAAGTCGGATCATAAATGCGACCTGTACTTTGTTCACAAAAATACATGGACGGACGGACAGACGGACATGCGTAAATCGACTAAGAAAGTGATTCTATACATATTCTCAAAAGGTTCCATGTGTCTATCTCGTTTCCTTTTGCCTGTTACAAACATATGCACAAAGACATAATACCCTATACCACAGTGTGGTGAAGGGTATAAAAATGTATAAAATGGTACCATATAGTTTCGTGCCGTTCTTGTACGAATTTATGAAACCCCAGTCAATATGACACCTTCGGACTAAGAGTGACCCCGACCCAAAAGCCTTTTCCGTTTATAGATACAATTTTGACAAAGTTTCAAATTCACACTAACTTACGTATCATCATCCGCTTTCAGGAACCAATCAGCATCATTTATATGATTATCGTAAATATATTTCAGGGCCATCTTTGTTTTATTCCACAAATGTTGACGACCTTCACCCACTGGTAAGGCAATCGTTTGCAACACCTCATCTTCCTGCGAACTGATGAATAGCAATTTATTGCATCTGCGACCCCATGTCTCACGTACATGTATTGCCTTGGTCAAATGATTTGCTGGTTGGGTCATAATCCAACAGAGGATTCGTGTAGTGTTATACGATGTATAACCATGGCCGCTTTTAACATCGATTTCGGTAGTTCTGAATCCAGCATTTTGTTGGTCATTATTAAACCAAACAAATGTCGAATACAGACCAATGGTAAATCCAATTATTAGACAAAGTAAATTTTTCCAAATCATATCAATTTTCTTTACTTTTGAACTTATTTTTAACATATTGGTTTACACACACACACACACCTTCAAATACCATTCTTTTTTAATTTTTATTATTAACTAGAAATCATTTATTTACTGTTTGTTTTTAATTGTTTTTTGATTTGTTATTACCGAAAAACAAGTTTTGTTTTCATTGAAATTGTTTTGCGAAATCGTCTCGTTTTAATGTTCCTCTTTGTAATGCTTTCAAATAAATGACTAACCGAACGCCGTGATGAACAAGTGTTACTTCGGCGTATGAACGCGTACATTAACATTTCTTTTTTTGACAAAATCTCCACATCTTGTTTTTTGATTATGTTCAAATTTTGTTATTTTTTGTCGGTATTTTATTTGGATTTTATTGCATTTTACTATTGCGCCAAGTTAATTGTACTCTTCATCATCATCATCATCATCATAACCTTTGTATTTACGAGGAGAGAAAAATAATTCCGTTAATTTTTTAATATCGGTTCACACCTTCTTGTTCCTCTCATCCAAATGATACAATCGTGGAACGTAATATGAAACCATATAGACCTTGGTATCATTTAGCGTGGTTCTAAAAAATCGATGTCGAAGTTTTTTGGCAGTAACCTCAATAATGTTTCATTTTCATTGATTTTAAAATCCCAAAGATTTGAAAATCTAGAAATCTTGGTAGGTATGACCATTTCCAAAATCCCAAATAATTCGCATATTCTTACACCCACTAAAATGAAGAATTGAATTAAATAAGCAGATTTTTCAAATATTCATATAGATTTATTATTTTTATGAAAAAACTAACTTATGCATAAATCAGCCGCTAGATGGCGTAGTTTTCATATTATGGATGACAAAAACCGCATTCGTACAGAGTACCAAGATCAAAAAAATTAATGATAATACGCATTCTAATAAAAGTTAATATTTTTTGGAAATAATTTTTGTTATGACTGCACTTAGACGTCTAGACTAGTTTGGAGTTTAATGCGTTTTTCTCTCGCGTTTCTTTTTTGAATACGTTGGACCGGATTTTGATATATGTTGATAACACAGACCTGAACTATAAACAGGGGAAGCACAGAAATAAAATGTTCTTCACATTTCCTGTTAATTACAACATAGCATTGCACAAATACCGTTTTGATAGTAATATAATGCAAACAGCGTCATCTAACTTTTAACTCACGAAACAGGATGCCCCATTTTTGTGTCGATTTTGTTTTTCATAGACAAAAAAAATGTCATACATACTTGGACTTTATCAAATTTTAAATATCAATCATCAATAAAAAAATAAAATGAATTTTCTAAAGCTGCACATTGCTGTCAAGATTAAACTAAACTTATTTATATATTTATAAGTTTTAGAGACGGGGAACTTCGAAATATTTGTAAATATGAATGATTTAGCAATTTTTGCCACTGATCACATGATATGCGTATATTTAGAAGCAAGATATTTTCACACACGAAATATCAATAAATTTGATTTATTTTCAAAATATAATTGGATATCATAAAGGAAAATTCGTGCGTGTTTTTATTTTTATCACATTAAATGTTGTAGCTCTGAGAATAATTATTTTTCATATTTTTTGCTAATGGGTTAAACACCCACACTTCTGAAGCATCTAATAAATATTATTTCATTTGTTTACTTCTTAATTAGTAATAAATGAAATATTTAATGATAACAAATGAGAAATTATAAACTCAAAAAAAAAAACAAGTGAAAAAGCGTTAAGTTCGGCCGGGCCGAACTTTGGATACCCTCCACAATAGATATACTGGCAGGTACTTGAAATGAAAATAAAGCGAACATACCAAAAAGTGACCTTTCTACAAACTGATTATGTAAACCATAATGTACACCAAATACAAATTTCAGCAATTTTTAATGAATATTTTTACCCTCAGCCTTATGGCTAATGAGGGTGTATACACTTTGATACAGTGAAAATGTGCCTCATCAAAATATTGATTCTAGACCCCACGTTTTTCTTTTTTTCATGACCAAATCCATTTCAGAAAATTTTGATTTCATCCAAACTTTGCCTAATTTATTATTAATTCCAAACTTTGTTCAAGTTCGAAAAAGGGAAATATCTTCTGGTACGTCCTACACAGGGCTAGGCCTAGGCCTAAATCCGGGCTATAGTTACATTATCGAACCTTACGAACCTACGAATCCTCCGCAGGTGAAATGATTACAACAGAGTCTTAGAACCAACCCCAAAACGCAGAACAAATCAGATAACTATTTTAATATAAAAAGGGGGGTTATATGGGGGCTACGCCAAAAAGGGGGCGAATATTAATAATTTTTAGTACGGAGGATTTTTACCATATACGACTACAAAATACCAAATTGCAGCGAATTCGGTTGAAAAACGCGGTCAAGAACCCCAAAATTCCGAAAATTGGGGGTACCCTGATATGGGGGCTTCCCGAAAAAATGGACCTATATTCATAATTTTTTTGTGGAGACATTTGTTACCTATTAAGAACTCAAAATACTAAAAAAATGCGACCAAAACCCCCAAAATAATGAAAATTAGGAGGTACCGTTTTATGGGGGCTACCAGAAAAAGTGGGCCTATACTTATAACTTTTGTGGAAACATTTAGTACCCAATAAGAACCCAATGTACCAAATTTCAGCGAATTCGGCTGAAAAACGCGCTTAAGAACCCCAAAATACCGAAAAATGGGGGATACCCTTATATGGGGGCTACCGGAAATAATTGAACTATATTCATAATTTTTTGTGGAAAGATTTGGTACCTATTAAGAACTCAAAATACTAAATTACAGCCAATTCGGTGGGAAAATACGACGAAAACCCTCAAAATACTAAAAATTAGGAGGTATCGTTATATGGGGGCTACCAGAAAAAGTGCACCTAACTTATAATTTTTTGTGGAGACATTTAGTATCCAATAAGAACCCAATGTACCAAATTTCTGCGAATTCGGCTGAAAAACGCGCTCAAGAACCCCAAACTATCGAAATTTGGCGGGTACCCTTATATGAGAGCTATGCCTAAACGTGGACCGATATATTCCATCTTCGAACTTGACATGCCTGCAGACAAAAGACAACCCTATGCAAAATTTCAGCACCCTATCTCAATTCCTTCAGAAGATACCGTGATTACAACAGACGGACTGACAGAAGGACGGACGGACATAGCTAGATAGTCTTAGAATTTTACCCTGATCAAGAATATATATACTTTATAGGGTCGAAAACGAATATTTCGAAGAGTTACAAACGGAACGACAAAATTAATATACCCTCCATACTATGGTGGAGCGTATAAAAAAACAAGTTCATTAAAAATTAATTGTAATTTATATCCACTTAGAAATTGAATTTCTTCACAAAGATTTTAAATAAATAAGGCAATTTTCTAATTGAGTAGCTAATAAACATGTATGGCCATTTATGGTCTATCTTAACGTTTTGTGAACAATGTCCGAAGTAGAAGCATGAGTAATGATAGGAGATTGACATTAACTAAAATATTTCACATACATTAAAAATAATTTGTCACTAAGACAGCGCCACATTGGAGAAATATTTAAAGAAGGCGTCTAGAAATTTAGAAATTTAACGGCTCTTAAGATTCTTTGTATTAAATTTGTCATTCCGTTTGCAACACTTCGCAATTTTCACCGGATACTCTATAAAGTATATATTATCTTGCTTTTATTTGTTATGTTCTAAAGAGATAACAAAGCAATACTAAACAGCTAAAAAGTAAATAACAGACTCATACACGTTTTTATACAAGGTTCTCTTAAAAATAGTCAGATCTGGGTCTGATAGGGATATAGCCCCATTATAGGTATTTTAATAGTCCTAGAAGCATTTTTCAATTGAGGGACATTCCGGAACCGGAATTCTTCAAAGAAAATGTTCAATATAAACCTTTTTCTACATAGCCCCTATACAAGGGTCACGCGTCATGTTTGCGGATATTTAGATAAGGCCGGATGATGATGGGACCTGATTGGATTGTACAGTATTATCGAAATACCAAAACAAAAGCAGTAATGCAAAATTCATAAAGTTAGCTGAGACAAAACTAAAGCAACTCGACAATACAAACAGATTAGCCTCAAAATTTTAGTTATTTACCGTAATAATTACAATGTTTTGATTTCTACACCTATTTCGATTTATATAGATAATTATACCCTCAGCCTTATGGCTAATGAAGGTATATACACTTTGATACGGTGAAAATGTGCCTTATCGAAATATTGGTTTTAGACCCAATGTTTCTTTGGACCACATCCGTTTCAGAGAATTTGAAGTCGACTTAGCCATGTCCATCCGTCCGTCCGTTGTCCGTCTGTCTGGCTGGCTGGTGCGCACGAAAACTCTCGAAGGCAGCAACCGATTTCATTCAAACTTTACACATATTAATATTACTTCCAAACTTGGTGTATGTTCGAAGATGGGGAATATCGGTCCACTACTTCTAGTACCTCCCCACAAAAAGGTCAAAATTGTGCTAAAAAAGTAATTTTATAATAACATGCCAACGGACTATCCGATTTTAACGAAACTTTGTACAACCTATTATCTTTACCATGCCTAGATCAAATTTTAATATGAGACCCGTTGATCCACTTTTTCTGGTACCTCCCCCACAGAGGGTCAAAATTTTCAATATTTATAATACCAATATCAGGCGAATGAAATGTCCAATTTGAACCAAACTTTGCAAAAGCTATTAACTTTACGAAGCCTAGATCAAGTCCGAAGTTTTGACCTGGTACCTACCCCAAAAAAGGTAAATATTATATAATCTTGTAAATTTATTTAAATAACCGAATTGATCAAATTAAATGTGAAATACATTTGATAAAAACGACTTTTTTACGACGATATCTTTAGAAGGCGTAATGATTACAACAGATGGCTAAATCGTCTTAGAATTCCACACTTTGTGGGGTAAAAACTGACTATACCGAGTAACTATGACAGAATACGCCTACATTGGTACAACCCCAACACACGGAACAAATCAGCTAACTATTCTAATATATAAAGGGGGGGGGGGGGGAGGGGATATGAGAAAATTAATAATTTTTGGTAGGGAGATTTGTTACCATATACGACTACAAAATACCAAATTATATCGGATTCGGTTGAAAACACCGAAAATTGAGGGTCCCCTTATATGAGAGCTGCCAGAAAAACTTTACCTATATTTATACTTTTTAGTGGAGGGATTTGCTACCAAATAAGTACTCAAAGTGCTGAATTACAGCCAATTCGGTCGAAACATGCGATCAAAACCCCTAAAATACTGAAAATTAAGGGGTGCCGTTATATGGGGGCTACCAGAAAAAGTGGACCGATATTTATAATTTTTAGTGAAGATATTAGGTACCCAATAAGAGCCCAATGTACCAAATTTCAGCGAATTCGTTTGAAAACGCGCTAAGAACTCCAAAATATCATATATTGGGGGGTACCTCTATATGGGGACTACCTGAAAAAGTGGACATATATTTAAACATTTTAGAGGAGAAATTTGGTACTCAATATAAACCCAATGTATCAAATTCCGGCGAAATCGGGTGAAAAACTCGCCCAAGATCCGCAAAATACCGAAAATTGGGAAGTACCCTTATATGGGAGCTATGCATAAACATGGACCGTTATATCCCATCATCGTACTTGACCTGCCTGCAGACAAATGACAACCCTATACTAAATTTCAGCACCCTATCTCACTTCCTTCAGAAGACAGCGGACGGACACACATACTTAGATTTTACGCTGATCAAGAATATATATACTTTATAGGGCCGCAAATGAATAATTCGATGAGTTACAAACGGAATGACATACTATGGTGGAGGGTATAAAAATCAAAAAGTTGCTTTAGTTTTGACCAAGCTAAAATTGGATAATTTAGCTTTCAAGCTAAATTATCCAATTATCCTGCACCTCACCTGAAAATTGTTGTCTAGTGTAAATAGAAAAAATTGTAACTGTTTTATTTTTGTCAAAATATTTCCGGTTTATGTAGAAAGCAGTCCCATTAAATTATTTATTGTATACAAAAAATCTTGAAATTAACTGCCTTAGTAGTACCATTCTATTTTTGGCAGTCAAAGATAACGGAAAGAAATTGAGATCGCAAAAAAAGTAAAAAAGTAAAAGTGCTTAAAACACAAAACATGGATAGAAATTAATATTTAGATTTCATTAAAACAATGCTAAAATTATCAATAATCCAAACAAAATGTATCTCAACAACAACCCTATGTCGGAATGTAACATTAATAATAATCGGGTTTATAATTGGCATCTACTATACACTTTTGTGGTTAAATACTCGTGCAACACTAAGTGAACCCTGTTTCGGAAAAGATGACCATATTCCTGAGGAAAATAATAACACCAATATATTTGAACAAATGTCGACCACGATTCAGACAAACATGGTCGAATATTTATTCAACACAACCCGAGTATTATGTTGGATCGTTACCAACCCTGCCAACCATTTGACCAAGGCCATACACATTCGTCACACTTGGGGACGTAGATGTAATAAATTGCTGTTCATTAGTTCCGAAGCTGATGATATTTTGCAAACAATTCAGCTACCGGTTGCCGAAGGTCGTGACTATTTATGGTTCAAAACGAAACTGGGACTAAAATATATTTATGATAATCATATCGATGATGCCGATTGGTTTCTGAAAGCCGATGATGATACGTAAGTAAACTAGAATTTAATCTCATCGTTTGACTTCTGGTTTAAAGATGTTGAATTAGTTTTTTTTAATAATTAAATCAGAACATTTTGAAACCAGTTTTTATTAAATGCTAATTACACTTTGAAAGAACATGAAGAAGTAGTCAATAAATGTGAACTGGCATTCATAATGACTAATGACGATTTTATAGAGACTAGTTGCAATTTTTAATGCACTCCACAAAGACTGGTCGGTACATTAACATCGTCATTCCGTTTATAACTAATGAGAATAATAGTTTTATAACTTGCACCATATGATGGGGTGTATATTATTAATAGTATTCCAAATTAATTGATGGTATCGAAATAAAATTTCCCTAAAAATCTGCAGATACAAAACAAAAAAAAAAATAATCCCCATTTTCAAAGAAAATCCCCAATATAGGGGTACATTCATTCCGTCGAACTATTGAACGGAGATCCCATAATCTATATATATAAAAGAGTTGCGTTATAAGTGACTGACTGATCATCAACGCCCAGACGAAACGGCTAAAGCTAGAAGCTTGAAATTTGGCATGTAGGTGGGGTTTGGTGAGTAGGCGTGTGATAAGGCGGGGTTTTTGGAAATTCGTACTACGCGTACTACGCGGGAACGGTTAGATGTAGAACTTTGAAATTTGGCATGTAGCTTTGTCTATGGCGAGCGGACTAGAATTTGTGAAAAAAATTGGAATTTAGTACTTAGATGTACTAAAAAGTACTAAATATTGTATTTGAATGGAATTGGTGAAGATTCATAACTGAAACTTGGTATGGAGCTTAAGCCATTACAAAGAGAATACTGTGCAAAAATATTTTTTGGACATTAGTACTAAAAGGTACTATAAAGTACTAAAACTGTATTACTCCGGAACGGTTAGAAGTAGAACTCTGAAATTTGGTATGCAGCTTTGTCAGTGATTAGCAAATCAGAATTTGTGAACAAGTTATGGAAATTAGTACTAAAGGTACTAAAATGTACTAAATATTATACTACGATGGAAAATGTAGAGATAGATGTCTGAAATTTGGTATGTAGCTTAAGTCATTAAAAATAAAATGATGTACAAAAAATATTTTTTGGAAATTAGAACAAATATGGTACTAAATAGTACTAAAAACTGTATTACGCCAGAACGGTTGGAACTACAACTCTAAAATTTGGTATGCAGCTTTATCATTTATAAACAAATCAGAATGTGTGAACAAATTTTGCAAATTAGTACTAAATATTATACTACGATGAAACAGGTAGGGATAGATATCTGAAATTTGGTATGTAACTTAAGCTATTACAAGTAGAATGATGGGCAAACATATATTTTTTTTTTTTAAATTAGTACTAGAATATATTAAAAAGTTCTGAAATTTCACATATAGCTTTAACTATTACAAATAAGCCATTTTTTTTTTTTTTTTTTTTTTTTTGAATTCAGCACTAAAGTTGCGATAAAAAGTACTAAATATGTAAATACAATGTAACTGGTAGAAATAGAAATCTGTAATTTTGTATGTATCTTACTCTAAGCATAACTTTTTGGAATTAGTACTAAATACTGTAGTATAATGGAACCGGTAGGAATAGAAATCTGAAACACGGCACATAGATTTAATTATTACAAATACTATGCTATATATTAATATATTTTTGAAATTTGTACTAAAATGGTACAAAATATTAACTTATAATGGAAAAGTCATAGATTGAGATCTGAAATTTAGTATGTAGCTTAACTATTACAAATAGACCGATATGCACAAAATTGTACTAAATATTGTACCATAGTGAATGATAAAAAATATAAATGTAAATTTAGAGTACAAAAATGTCCAACTATAATTAACAGGCTGGGTTTATTGAAAATTCGTACTAAATGGCATCATTAATACAAAATATTGCACAGTATGGGAACATTTTTTGTATATTATAAACAAATAGAATACGAATCGAATACAAGTACTAAATATTGTATATGGTAGAATGGATGAAGATAGGAACCTGTTATTAAATAATTATCTGGAACTATGACAATAACAATTTATACATAAAAATTTTGCATTAATAACTTCTAAAATGTACTAAAAAGTACAACACATTGTATACGGCGGTACGGGTGGATATAAAAACAATGCTTTTGGCAATATTGTTTGACATTTGTACTTAAAGTACTAAATATTTTATACGACAGAACGAGTAGAGGTAGAGTCCTGAAATTTTGTATGTATATTTTGTTTAAACAAATTAAAAAAAGGATTTTTTTTTAATTTTTAGTAAAAAGTACTAAATAGAAAATGTTAGAGAAAGATATCCGAATTTTAGTATTACTCTTTGACTATGGTAAGTAAAATGTCTAATGGAAATATATACGGTTTTATGAAATATAGTTTCGAATCCCACATGAATCTATACTACAGCGAATGATTATGTGAATTTTGGTTAAAATTTCTAGTGTAGTGAAAAACAGGCGAGACTTCAAATACAAATAAGTGAAACTATGCAATAAGCCGCTGAACATCACAAGTACTAAAGTGTAGTCAATATTAAATGCTAAAGTTCCAAATTTTCTAAAATAACAATACTGATATTTCCAATGATGTTTCCAACCACATTGGATCGATCTTTTGATGTAATGAATAATGGGCTGGATCATTATTATGAGGATATACTAAAAATACCGACAATACCATTGAGTATTTTGTAATACGTAACGCACCAGAAATACTAAATTTCTGCAATTTTAATGAAAATCTTCACTATAAAGGCAAGTCTCTGAATAAAAAATGATGCGCTGTGCAAAATTGTAATTTGTACTATAAGGGTACTACTATCAGTACTAACACGAACTAGATATTTTACTATTAGTATTAAATTACCGGAAGGAACAAAAAAGGTTAACACAGTATTATAGAACTTTTTACATCAGTCCATCGGGACGATCGAGAAAATAGTAAACTTACAGAACTTGTACTCGATTTAGTAGGATAGAAGCATTAACGTTTCTGTACGAAAGAAATACGGAGTAAAATCTGAGATTAAAACAAACATATTAAGATATAAAACCTATAATAAAAATGTTTCAAATTTGTACATAATCCAAAAGTATATTGCGTAGCTAAAATAATGTTTATTTATTTAACTATAAAAAGTTTCGCTAACAACGTAGCGGGCCTATGCTAGTGTATATATATTTGTGATCAGAATAAAATGACGATTCTTTAATTTAAGTTATAGCTTTGGAACTTTGCACATACGTTGCTACTACTCCTAGGATATTTAGTATTGAATAGAAATTATAGAAATTTGTCAACGCAGATCCATGTTTTGACATTGTCCTACTATTAAGATTTAGATACATTTTAAAGTATTTTGATGATCCTTGGCTCATTTGCCAATCGATAACGATCATTTAAAGATCCCTGAAAATAGCAGGCAGATTATGGTCCTAGGCGTATTTTCCAAACTAAGTGGTTCAAATTTGTAATTCCGTTTCCAGTTGGTTGTAAACTAAACCATGCAATTTGCTTCTAATTTTCGGTATCCTGAAGATGTTATACAAATTATCCTGGGTTTCTGTAATGTTTTAATTAGTTTTCTTAGAGGATAATATATCATTATGTCAACTGGTCAAACATAGAATTTTTCGTTCGTGAAATCGGTGGAAAATATATACTAGGTTGGAGAAAAATAAATCCATTTTTATATGAACTATAGGACTTTATTTCACATGCTTCGGAATGCCCGATATGGGCTCAATATACACCGTTTTGTTGTATGATTTGTTGCCATTTTAATGGTAACTTCATAACGCCTCTCTCACAAAAGTCCTGCTCTCTATTTGCAAAAAAAAACTCTAGTAGCCGATTTTCACAATTCTCCCAATTTATAATTAAATAAATTTTGCAATGCAAGAAAAAGATGATAATTGTTTGGTGCCAATTCTGGACTGTATGGCGGATGCATTAAAACTTCCGAACCAAGGTCCCGAAGTTTCTGGCGAGTCACTGTATGTGTGTAGCCTAGCGTTGTCCTGGTGGAACACGACACCTCTCCTGAATAGATTTACACATTGATGGAAAATCTTTACGGGAGATTGCAGTGTTTCTACTATACAATATGTCGTATCTAATCCATATCGACGTCGTAAAATCTACATTAATACTTCTTTAAGCGGCTTAGAACTGGCTGTATGTTTGGAACACGCTTAAATCAGTGCTAAACTACATCAGATTTAAAGTCGAAATGCTGTCAGAAATCCCTATATTAGCAGATTGTTTTTTTTCAAAAAGCACCAAAATAAGTAATACATACAAATTCTATCCGTTTTATGACGGCTACCCTAAAAAGCGGACCAATATCGATAGTTTTAGTAGGTACCCAATGAGAACTAAACGTAGCATATTACAGCCAATTCGGTTGAAAAACGTGTCAAAATTCCCCATAATACCGAATATTTGGGGGTATCGTTATATGGGGTATATACCAAAACGTGGACCAATATACCCCATTTGGAATACCGACCATTTTAGGAGTAAAAGCAATACCAGTGCAAAATTTCAAAGCTCTATCTCAAATATTGCAATCTTCATCGACATAGAATTTTATTCTGATCAACAAGTTACACTCCACATTATGGTGGAGGGTATAATATCAGATGGACGCGTAAAAATTTGACGCATTCAAGAATGGTGGCGGGGTGTTTTTCTGCAGCTGGGGTTGAAAAACTCAATTTTGTTGATGTTGTCATGACAGCAAAGGACTATATAAACATTTTCAAGCAAAACTTGATGCAAATTTCAGTCGCGGGAAATTATAATTCAACAGGATAATTATCCCAGACATACTGCGCTAGATTTCAGATTTTGGATCCTGTCCCAAATATCCGAAAGCCTAGATATTAATCAATTGAATATTTGTGGTTAATTTCGAAGGAAAAGTTATGGCATTATAGTATCAGAAACGTGAAAGCCTTTAAAATAGCTTAAAAACGGAATGGGATCAAATATCACCCGAATTAAACTCCAAACTAGTTAAACCATGCCTAAAGATATATGTGTGGTCTTACTTACTTAGCTAGCTTGTGGCAGAAAGTTTGTTCCATAAGCCGAGCTTCAAAAAGATCTACAGGTCGGTCCTGTGCGCATCTAATCCAATTTGAAAGACCATGTTCGAGATGTTGCCTTCCACATGATCTTTTCATCGAATTCGTGGCCTTCTCCATCTGCGTGAACCATCAGTTGGCTCGCTTTTATATGCTTTTTGAGCTGGGGTATCTTCATGCACTCTCACAACATGATCTAGCCAACGTAGTCGCTGCAGCTCGATAGGTCGATGTACGAGAATAGATGGTACAACTCATTGTTCATTCGGCGGCGATATTCACCGTCGACGCAGATCGGCCCATATATGGGCCGAAAATGTCTCTCTCAAAAACACTCCAAGAGCTGCCTGATCTCCGGTTAAAGTTATCTTCCATAGCCGTATTGAAATGTTGAACGCAGCAGAACTGAGGGGATTGGGCTGTCAAATTCTGTTTTAAAGACGACGAATAGGCGGGATGTGTCGATGTATTTTCGTGGGTCTTTTCCAGGATTTGACGCAATGTGAAAATCTGGTATATAGTGGATTTTCCAGGTCTGAAGCCGCATTTGTATGATCCAATAATATCATTGACCATTGGCTTCAGTCGTTCACACAGCACGCTGGATAGCACTTTATATGCGATAGGAAGGAAAGTAAGTTATCTATAGTTGGCACATATCGTCATGTGCACGGGACACAGGTGGTCATAAAATAAAATAATATCCAACAAAATATTAACTTTTATTAGAATGCATAATATCATCATTATTTTTTATCTTGTACATCTGTACAAATATGATTTTTGTCATCCATAATATGAAATCTAGCGGCTGAATAATGAATGATGAGAGCGGGGTGTATTCATGTTTTTCTATATAAAAGAACATTATTTTTGAAACAAAAAAATGCGCATGATGATAGACTAATATGTTATTAATGCGAATAATTTGTTTAAAATCTCAATATTAAGATGAAACGCCATAAAAAACGAATTTTCAATAGATACTACGGTTTGTGTTGCATTTTTCCCGAATGAATCTCTGGATTGACACAAACAGCTGATTTGGAATAAGATCGTACAAGATAGGGTTACCAAAGTTCGAAATTTTTAATTCACATAGGAGGTAACTTCTGAAGTGAAGTGTAAAGAACACGACGCACTATGTCGCGAGTTCATATAACCAGCGGCCAAAAATAGAAGGAGTTATCGTAAGTTAATGAAATTTGGTACACGTGCTTATTATTGGCCTAAAGAGCAACTGACAAAACATTGGATAGATCGCACCAAGATTTGGTATACCTCCCATATAATGGGTCTTGAGAATGTCACCCTTTTTGGCCTATAAAATCGTTTATATTTAAACAAATTCTATGAAAATTGGCAATTTACATTTAATTAGGCCTATAAAGCAACTGACCAAAAATTGGCAATTTACATTTACTTATGCCTATAAAGCAACGGAACAAAAACTGGGTAGACCGGACCAATATTTGATATACCTCCCATACACAGGGTCTTGAAAAATCCGATTTTTTGACCTATAAATTGTTTATATTCATCCAAATTCCACGAAAATGTTCATGTCTTCGTTATATGCTAAATTAAGTATAGTAGTTTTACTTTTGTTATTTTTATTATAATATAAAGAATAAACTAAAATAAACTAATAAATTACTATAAATATTTTTATCATTCACAACATTTTCGAAACACACATCATATATATGTATATGTATATATATATAATATTGTCTTCCCAAATGTACGATTTAGTATCATCCACATTATAATCTCGGGCCTTTACTTTATGGCTGTTTAAGGATATTACAAGGTCGGATTGTAATATAAAATACTACAAATAAAATCCTTATTTAACTCGGCTTTAACAAAAGTTCGAGCTGCTACTAATTATTTGTTGTCATGACTTGTTAGCATCTTGTGAAAGTTGCTCAAAAGGTATTGTACTGCACTTTGCGTATCCCATGCCATGAACTAATATTTTTCTGTATGAACCTTCCACAAAGGTAATTCTTGTGCGACCACTAAATTAAGATTATAAGATTATGTCTCAAATGATCTGATAAATAAGTATAATCTTCAAACTGACTGAAAATTTATTTAAAAGCTATATTTTAAAACCAATTCTCCCATATCTCCGCTTCGAATAACTTAATTGCATATTTTATGTAAAATATTGTATTATTACTATGTTCTGAATCCATTTTCTCCTTCCTATTTGACCCTCATTAACTTATTAATTTGTATACATAACATATTTGACCATTCGCTTCCAACCATTTCATGAATATGTCATATTTTTTCATAAGGTGGTCACCAAAAAAGTTAAATAACTCTTAGGACCGCAGGACTCCCCAGCTATTAGAGCTAACCTTTTTTAAACTTTTTTTCTGCTCCACTAATTTCAAAATTTGATGAACTAAGTACTACAAGTATGGACGACTGTATACACCATATGATATCTATATACAAACAAACTAAAGCGAATCCTAGTTTTTACATCCACAGCAACCAGACTAAAAACTTTTATAATAACCGTTAATTTGAATATTCAAATATTTGAGCATCAGAAAAACACACCCATTTTTCGAAAATATGGTAAAAAAATCAGTTTATAAATAATTATCAGATTTGAACCTTTGTAGAGACAAAATTACTCGACATATCGATGTAAAATTTCATATTTATTCTAATTGGAGTATTTTCTATCAATCCTCATCAAAAAATTTGTCCTCCGTGGTACTTGGTTTTGACCATTTTTGGCCACGGTCGTGACACTGTGTGACGTGTGTTCCCGAACATACCCGAATGTATATGAAATTTTAAAAAATCTGCTTATTGGATCGAATACATTGTAAATTCTTTATTTTTAGAGGGTGTACGAATACGTATTTCAATTACTGTATATATTTTACGCTCATACCAATGCATGCGTTATTTGTCACCCGTGACGATTTAATCCTCGTCTCGCATTCTATTTTCAGATATGTAATAATGGAAAATCTTCGATATTTCTTACATCAGTATTCCTCGGATATACCAATATATTTTGGTTGTAAATTCGATAGGTATATAAAGCAGGTAAGATGATGGAACACTGTGTACTATTTTTGAGTTTATTTAAAAAATTCTTCCTCACAGGGTTACATGTCCGGTGGGGCAGGTTATGTCATGAGTAAAAAAGCATTGATTAAATTCGCCACCGAGGCCTATGACAACAGCCGTCTCTGTAAATACAAAACAATTGCTGAGGATCAACAATTGGGTATTTGTATGGAAAATATTGGGGTCATAGCTGCTGATTCAAGAGATGAAAATGGGTTGGAACGATTTATACCATTGCCGCCAGTTGATGTCCAACCTGAGCCACATGTCGAATGGTATATAAAATGGGTTTATCATGAACCAGAAAAGGTAAGGCTTTGATATGCCATGCTGTTAATACTTGTTTTTTCATTTACTTTATTATTTCAGAATGTCTCCTGTTGTTCACCACATGCTATATCATTTCACTATATAACACCCGACGAGTTTTATGTTCTAGAATATTTAATATATACTTTGAGGCCATTTGGTGCTCCTGTTTATGAAAGTTTGCCTACGAAAATAAATGTTTCAGAGATTTATGCTGCCGGTATGCCAGATGCTGAACCTTTAATGGTTCCACAAACTGTCGATAGTAACGGATAGTATATTTTATAGTTGATTAATATTAAAAATAATTTCAATAGTCTGGTTTCCGTGTATCTGTTTGATTTAGAATAAACAAAAACAGCTTTTTGGTATGGTCTAGACTATGAATAACTGTCGAATTCGTCTGAAAATTTAATATATATATATATATATATTTTTTTGGAAAATCTACCCGTTTTCTAGATTGTTAAACTAGATAAATAATTTTAAAAAATGTTTAAGTGAGTTGGAAAAATACATAAAATAAAAAAGGGGGATAGAAAAGAAAATAAGCTAACAAGAAGTATTAGGAGGTAGATGGGAAATAGTTTCGAAGGCTATAGAAAATGGACAGAAAACATATTACGTGCTAAGGTTGCACTTTCCCAACCACTTTAGGTTACTAATGATGCTATAGTTGAAAGGAAGCTTAGGCTGACGTGCGAGAAGCGATGCTATGATATGCCGCTAGAAGACGCTATAAACCTCTGCGTGTGTTTTCTTATGGCATAGCGAAAAAGCTGTCAGAGTGGATGCTACGCTACAAGCAAGACAAAGCGAGTGCAAGCGATAAAGCGTGTTGTGCAATGGTTTATAGCAAGAGGTGGCTTTGGCTCTGTTTGAGTTTCTTTGTTTATTATTTTTATTTACCGTTATTGATCGGTTTTTGGCATCGTTCTTTTGCATATTATCGAATTTTAATGGCATGGACCAATCTGTCGGTATTTTTGTGGACTCAAGTTCAAATTTAATTAAATAATAATAAAATAGTTTGGGAAATTTTCATTTCATAAATATTCTTTTAAAAATTATTTTGAAAATATTTTGGGATATGAAAAATTCTTCGTCTGAATCCTTCTTGAGTCAATAAACACCAGTTTACAACCGAAATAGTCAACAACACGCTTTGCTCTCTATAACACTCACTCTGACATACTATAGCATTGAAGTAGCATGAACTATTATAGCATGTAGTATCGCATCGCTTCTCGCTTGCACTTATGGCCTTAGACATTATGGAAAGTGAGCACCCACAAGTCTGTGCCGTATGTAGGCCAGCACTGGACAGCGACACAGGAGATGCTCAATTGTGTCCGTCTCCTCCTCGTCAACACAGAGTCTGCAGCAGGGACGTACGCAGGGGGGCGGCCCGGGGGGCCCGGGCCCCCCCCGAAATTAAATTTTTTCACAGTAAATTTATGTTTGCAACAGCGAATTTTTTCATTTTGTACTACCGGGCCCCCCCCCCCCGAAATGAAATCCTGTGTACGTTGCTGGTCTGCAGTAATCAGTAAAATCATGGTCCCATTTACTGGTAAAGGCCTGGTATTGCAATGACCAGTAATGACTCCTGTCATTACTCTAATTTCAGCTTTGCTCAGGTTCAACAGTGAGTTTGTTCTCTTGATTGACAGAGTCGGCCAGATAGTTCTTGAAACATTGCTCCTAGGTTCGTTGTGCCAGAGTTCATTGGCTCGTTCATCGAAGAACGCCTCAAAGTTTCGAAAAAGATGACAGACGGGTTGTTTGATTGAGCCATCGATTGGTAGATCTTTAGATTGAGATCCTTGTCTAGCTAATTCGTCTGCTTTTTCATTACCCATGATGTCACGGTCTCCTGGTACGCAACAGCCGATAGCTTTTTTTTTCAAAACTGCTCTACACTCGAGGACGACGACAAGTTTGATATTACAGGATTTGAAGGCTCAAATCTCAGGACTGGTGATATATAGTTATACGCGTTGGTCCAATGTCAAACCTAGTTCGTTCAGGATACATCCATGCCCGTAGGACAATTTCGCCACAGATTTTGTTAATGCAGCCTTAGGACACTACGCGCTGTCGGACACTTAATGCTGAGACCAAGAGGCCTTAAGATCAGCATTGCTACATGTGGGGTGCTCCTCGCGGCTCCAGTTATTATTGATCCGTCCTCAAAAGATGTGTAATTCGTAACAATTGTTTATAGTGAGGTCCTGTGTACACACCTTTATATAAAAAATAATAAGCGCTCATATTTTTTTAAAGTATTTTTATTTATTTGATGCATTTGTCATTTTATGGGATTAATTTTCTCTTTTTGTTGTTGATGTTATTGTGATTATTAATTAACAAATAATTTGAAGATTTCTAATTGATGTTATAATAACTAACTAAAATATCTGATTAACAATTTTAACGTAAGAAGCTTTAGTATTTTTATTTTATTTTTTTTTCACTTTTTAGTATCCTTTTACTAAAGTTTTGTTTAACAAAACCTACAGAGAAAAGGAGGTAATAAGGAGGAAAGTTCAATGGTTTTTGGTGTATATATTTGAAATTATGAAAATATGATTTTTTACATTCTGAATAGAATAGTGTTCTTAATAAAGTATTTCTTTTGTTAATAATTGATTGAATATTACATAAAAATTATAATAATTATGTTGTTTTTAGCTACATATTTATTTTTTATAGCTTAGTGGATTATTTAATAAATTTTCATTAAAAATAAATTATGGTTTAGTTTAATTTGTTTGCTTAAAGATTTAAAAATTGTAGTCAGGGTTTTATAGGTTGTTGGTGTATTAGATTTAATTTTTTTGTTGGAGGTCCCAAAGAAAAGGAAGAAAAATATCATGAAAATATAAATATATGATTTACGTTTATATAATATAATTCATTACTATATAGCAGTTGACACATTCTCTTTTTTAATTTCTTTTAATGATTAGCAAAACAAAAGGAAACTAAATGATTTTTTCTGAAACATTATCGCTAGATTTTGAATTACAATTTTGAATATATAATTTTTAATCACATTAAAAAATGCTTTAAGTAAGCCCTAACATTACTTTCCATCATTAGTAGACCTCGGATTTTGCATATTTGCATATTTTTTAATAAAGAAGATATCGAAATTCTGATTGGACACAAATTCATTTCAAAGGATTTAGAATTATTTGAAGGGTTCATATTTTTTAATTTTTTGCATATTTGCATATTTTGCATATGCACGAGATATGCAAAAAATATGGAAAATATGCAAAAAATATGCAAAATATGCAAAAAATATGCAAAATATGCAAAAAATATGCAAAATATGCAAAAAATATGCAAAATATGCAAAAAATATGCAAAATATGCAAAATATATGCAAAATATGCAAAAAATATGCAAAATATGCTAGGTCGATATGCAATAAATATGCAAAATATATGCATAAAATATGCAAAATATATGCAAACATATGCAAGATATGGAAAATATATGCAAAATATGCAAAATATGCAAAAATATGCAAAAATATGCAAAATATGCAAAAATATGCAAAATATGCAAAAATATGCAAAATATGCAAAAATATGCAAAATATGCAAAAATATGCAAAATATGCAAACATATGCAAAATATGCAAACATATTCAAAATATGCAAAAATATGCAAAATATATGCAAAATATATGCAAAATATGCAAAAATATGCAAAATATATGCAAAATATGCAAAAATATGCAAAATATGCAAAAATATGCAATATATGCAATATATGCAAAATATATGCAAAATATATGCAAACATATGCAAAATATGCAAAAATATGCAAAATATGCAAAAATATGCAAAATATGCAAAAATATGCAAAATATGCAAAAAATATGCAAAATATATGCAAAATATGCAAAAAATATGCAAAATATATGCAAAATATGCAAAAAATATGCAAAATATGCTAGGTCGATATGCAATAAATATGCAAAATATATGCATAAAATATGCAAAATATATGCAAACATATGCAAGATATGGAAAATATATGCAAAATATGCAAAATATGCAAAAATATGCAAAATATGCAAAATATGCAAAATATGCAAAAATATGCAAAATATGCAAAAATATGCAAAATATGCAAAAATATGCAAAATATGCAAAAATATGCAAAATATGCAAACATATGCAAAATATGCAAACATATTCAAAATATGCAAAAATATTCAAAATATTCAAAAATATGCAAAATATGCAAACATATGCAAAATATGCAAAAATATGCAATATATGCAAAATATATGCAATATATGCAATATATGCAAAATATATGCAAAATATGCAAACATATGCAAAATATGCAAAAATATGCAAAATATGCAAAAATATGCAAAATATGCCAAAATATGCAAAATATGCAAAATATATGCAAAATATATGCAAACATATGCAAACATATGCAAACATATGCAAAATATGCAAAATATGCAAAAATATGCAAAATATGCAAAATATATGCAAAATATATGCAAACATATGCAAATATATGCAAACATATGCAAAATATGCAAAAATATGCAAAATATACAAAAAAATATGCACGGTATGCTAGGTCGATATGCGAGAAATATGCAAAAAATATGAAAAATATAGGCAAAAAGATGCAAAATATGTGCAAATATGAGCAGCATATTTCACATATGCAATCATTTTAATCAACAAAAAAAATTCAGGGTAGTTTTCGAATTTGTGTGCTTTCTTTATTTTTAACCTATAGAAATCTAATTGTGTATGTATGCGTTTCATGGTTCAACTGTTAGATTTTTGGGGCATTATGAAAAATTTGCTAAATATATGTATAAAACATGCAAACATATATAACCGTTATATGGCGATATACTAAAACGTGTACCGATATATCCCATTTCCAATACCAAACATCCTAGGAGTAATAATATATGTGCAAAATTTCAAAGTTCTATCTTTAATATTGCGACCTAGCATACCGTGCATATTTTTTGCATATTTTTTGCATATTTTGCATATATTTTGCATATTTTTGCATATTTTGCATATTTTTGCATATTTTTGCATATTTTGCATATATTTTGCATATTTTTGCATATTTTGCATATTTTTGCATATTTTGCATATGTTTGCATATTTTGCATATATTTTGCATATTTCGCATATTTTTGCATATTTTGCATATGTTTGCATATTTTGCATATATTTTGCATATTTTTGCATATTTTGCATATTTTTGCA